AATTGGACCCTGTTCAGGTGGGCAGTGGGGGAGGGGATGGGGCACTAGTTTCTTCTGCATTCTCAGAAGTCAATTTGCAAGTTCAATCCAACCAAGAAAAAAGCTAAACAAAAAGATGCTGCAATGTTTAACACAGGGACACACCTCTGTGAAGACGAGGGACAGCTCAGGGTCACAAGTGTTCTGTTTATTGCCTCAGCAGGATGGGAGGGCATGGCCCAACACCGATGGCCTGTCATCACAGGCTCACAGACAGGAGCGAGTCTTACAATGCAGTGTGTTAGCTATATGCTCCATTTTGCCCCATCATTGGATCATTTTCCTTATGCGGGGCTTCATTTCCATGGCGATGCAAGTGTCACTGCTGAAACCTAGCTTTACAATAAATAGAGCCAGTTCACCCATTCAACAATTTAATAAATATTTATTGAGCACCAACGGTGTGCCAGAAGCTACTGCCCACAGTAGGGAGTAGCAGTAAACAATGACAAATTGCTTACTTTCATGCAACTTACATTATGGCTGGGGAAATCAGATAACAAACATAAGTGGCCAAAATAAATGTGTAATATCAGATAGTTATCGCTGCTATAAACAAAATAAAATAGGGTGATGCGATGGAAAATGATGGGGAAGGAAAACTACCTTAGAAATGGCAGTCAGGCAAGACCTCTCTGAGGGAAAAATAATAATAATAACTTTAACTAAGGAGCACATGATGACCCAGCTGCATGAAGACCTGGAGAACAGTATTCGGAGCAGCGGAGCAGCCAGTGCAAAGGCTGAGCAGGAAGTGAGCTTGTTTGGCAAGAGGAAGGAAGGAAGGAAGGCTAGTTGGACTAGAAATAGGGACAAAAGGATGCTGAGAGATGAGGCTGGAGGCCAGCCCAAGGAGGCAGGGAGCACGGCATAGCAATAAGGGCACAACTAAGGCCTTCCATTCGCACACTAACAGCTAAAATGATAGCATCCAATTGCGAATTCTACAATAAAACACGCCATTGGCCATTTACAAAGCTGGGAATCCATTCCGCGGGAGCCAGACCTCATTGACAAGTGACTTTTATTGGCCCTTTACCGCCATCTGCTGGTGACACTAGGTATGTCCAAGTTGTCTTGATGCAGGCCTACACCAGACACTGACTCCACTGCCAAGGGCCTTACCAAAGTTTTCCAAATTCTTATTGGTGTCCTAAATTAGATTTAGATCAAGGCTCACAATGCACTTCACAAGATACACAGAGATGGACCCTAAAACAGGAAACTTGGCCAGCCAAGTGGCGTGTTGTTCAGAACTGGCTTGGGATGCCAGAGCGCCCCGGTTCAGATCCCACATATGAGGGCCAGTGACACTGCCCTCCACAGCTAAGATGCTGAACAACAGCTCAACCTGGAGCTGGGCTGCCGTGAGTTGCCGGCGACGGCATAGGCTGCAGCCCCTGTGGCAGTGGGTTGCCATGGGCTACCATGAGTAGCCGGCAGCCAGCGTGAGTGGCCGTCTAGAGGCCAGCAACTGATCTACCTCACCCGGGAAGAGCGTAATGATGGTGCCAACTTGGGCCAGTGAAGCAACGTCCTCCACAACTAGACTGAAGAACAAAACAACAGCAACTTGTCTGTTCCCCTCCCCCCAATTCCCCAATGAAATCTTAAAAAAACAGAAAACGTTCATTTACTCAATTAGCTGGACTGAATACCAGAATAGGCTCTTCAAACAGCCTCTATTAGAATTTACAAATAATGTCTGGTTATCTAATAGTGTCTGGCTCATGCCTGCCCACAATCTTTATTATGCTAAATTCTCCACTTTTGGGGAATTCTACACCTTAGCAAAATGCTCTGGAGACACCTGTTCTTGCCATTAAAGGTGCTACCAAGTGCTGATTTTCCCCCTCTTATGCATCTCCGTATATCTGTTCTTTGTCACTCCTGCCACCCTCCAAATCTCCAATAAAGGATAGTGGATGGACGAACGACAGGTAATAGGATGGAATCCTTTCATTATCAAGTGTCCCCCCAAATACTAAATGTGAAAAAAAAATACAGTGAATGATGCCGAGTGCCATCCTACAGAAAGGCAGGTAATCTTCAATACAGGAAGTGGAGCATCAAACCTTAGTTATAGTGTGTGACAAGTTTCAACTTGTTCTGTGCAGTCAGGTATGAGCTACAGTTGAGAGAAGGTGTGTCTTAATTAAAATGTGCCATAAATCATCCTCCATCATGACAACGCTCCATGTCACACATCACTTCTGGTATACGGCAATTTCTGTCAAATAAAAACTTTATGCTGTGTCCTCATCCACCTTATTCTCTGGATCTGGTACTATGTGACTTCTGGCTCTTCCCCAAGGTCAAAATGATTCAGGACATGGGAGCAGCCACGACAGCACAACTAAAGACACTCATGAAAGAGGACTTCCAGAACTGCTTCAGAAAGTGGCAAGAACAATAGGGTGTTAGAAGCAAGAGGGCAGGTATTTTGAGGGGGATTAATGGCAATGTGTTTTTTACTGTAATAATTTTTTTTTAAGATTTTTATTGGGGAATTGGGGGGTGGGAACAGTACTGAGGAATTGGGGGAAAGGGAACAGACAAGTTGCTGTCCTTTTGTTCCTCAGTCTAGTTGTAGAGGACATTGCTTCACTGGCCCAAGTTGGCACCATCACTGCGTTCTTCCCGGGCGAGACAGATCAGTCACCGGCTTCTGGACGGCCGCTCACTGCGGCTGCTGGCTACACACAGTAGCCCGTGGCAACCCACTGCCACAGGGGCTGCAGCCTACGCCGTCGCCAGCAACTCACGGCAGCCCAGCTCCAGGTTGAGCTGTTGTTCAGCATCTTAGCTGTAGAGAGCAGTGTCACTGGCCCTCATATGTGAGATCCGAACCGGGGCCCTCTGGCGTCCCAAGCCAGTTGTTAACCATCGCGCCACTCAGCCGGCCCAATAATTTTTTTTTAAATATTCACCCTATGTTGTGATCACACATCGTATGCTAATTTGGAATCCTGATAATCCAAATTTGCCTAAGGCAGAAGTTTTGCCTAAATTCCACAGACACAAGGGCAAACTCATAGCTAACAATGATGACGACTTTTCACAGTGGGTAGAGGTACCCGGCTCGGTGGACAATATGGTGTGGATAGTGATCAGTGGGCAGAGTAACTTAAATCTGACACACATGAGAAATATCCTTAAATAATATGGCCTGGACCCTAACCACAAAGTGATTTCACCCTGGATTTACACTCCTGCTGAACCATGGGCAACTCCCTTTGTCCCCTGCCCCCTTCTCACACACCTACAATGGTGGGATTCAGCCACAATGGCCAAGACCAGGAAAATGTCATTGTATGGCCTTTTTGCTATATTTAGGTTTACTGGGGGTAATTTGATTCCTAGGGTGGGTATAGGACACTCTCAACCCAACCTCCAAGGTCACTGGGCCATTTTTCATCTTCATTGCCACCAGGTGTTATGGGGCCAGCCACCCTCTGGAACCAAATCTAGCAGGTAGATGGCTGCCTCCCACCCACATTAGGATGATTCTGTGTCTGTCCCTGAGAGGATGTGCGGGAGTGACACTTCTGAAAAACAAGCTCCATCGGACAAGCCTGTCTGAGTATGGTTTCTCTGGGGTGAATTCTGTGTCTACCATGTTGGGAACCTGGGTTGCTACAGAGCAAGAGAGAAAGGAAGGGTGCCCCAGATATGGCCCAAGGTCTAGGGCACATGCAAGCCTGGGCCCTGAGGCCCCCAGAGGTTGCCTGCGTGCTGGGAGGGCCTTGGGGACAAGAGTCCCCCAGTGTGGAGAAGAGAGTACTTCTCAGAAGGTATGGTGCAGAAGGGAGTGTAATTGGCAGAATAATGCCCTCAAAGATGTCCATATTCTAATCCCTGGCAACTGCAAACAGCTTAAGTTACATGGCAAAGGGGGTCTGAGGTTGTAGATGCAATTCAGGTTAATCGTCTGACTTTAAGACAAAGAGATTATCCTGGACTATCTAGGTGAGCCTAATGTAGCCAAAAATGTCCTTAAAAGTAGAAGAGGGAGGAAGCAAAGAAAACCTAATCACCTGAGAGAACACCACATTTTCATTGACAGACCACTAGCAGGAATGTGGGTGTTAATGGTGCTGCTGGTGAGGACTCAGGAGGAAATGAGAAACATGCTACTGAAACTGGAGGAAAGGCATCTTGTAATCTAGTGGCTTTCGGGGAATTGTGTCCTGCTATGTGGAAAGTAGACCTTACAAGCAAACCTGAATATTCACCTGAGCAGATTTCCAAGAAAAGGTTGAAGGCGAAACCTGGTTTCTTCTCGCTGCTTATAGTAAAATGTGAGAAAAGAGATAAACTGAGAGAAGTGTTAACCCAGAAGCAACCAGGACTTGATGGTTTTGGAAATACTCAAGCTACCAAAGGGCAAAGGATGCTAATTAAGAGATTCACCATTAGGAAAACATGCTGTAGAGAAAATGCGAAGAGTATGGCTGTACAAACTTTTGTTAATAAATAGAGTACTCAGTCACACAAAAGGCTTTGAAATAAGTCCATGAAAAGATGCTCAACATCATTAGTCATTAGGGAAATGCAACTGAAAACCCCAGTGATACTACTTCATACTATTTGGATTGCTATTATTAAAAAACTAAAAATAAATAACATAAAATAACAAGTGTAGGTGAGGATATGGAGAAATTGGACCCTTGTGCATTGTGTGTAGGAATGTAAAATGGTGGTTCTCTGCAGCCACAAGCCCTGAAAGGTCTGAGGGCTGAAGGCCACCTGCCTGCAGCGCTCCTGGGAACCAGAACCACTGCTCTAGGGAGGGGGTGGCCCAGAGCCACAGACTCAGGGAGACTCAGGCAGGGGGTCACGCATTTCTTGAGCAGTTTTGAGCCCCAGAGGCAGACAGCACAGCTGCCCCTGCATTCCGACAAAGTCCAGGGGCTCAGGTACTCCATCTACAAGGCCTTGCTGGGAACCCCAGGCACTGGCAAAGAGCAAATGCAAATCCAGCTTTATTGGTAAAAAGAAATGGTAGACTTGACTGGAAATTCCCACCTGGCCCCAGCAGCAGCAGCAATTGGGAGGGAGGGAGGGAGGGAAGGAGGGAAGAAACCGCAGACCAGCGTCTGACTAGGGATGTGGTCTTGGAAGGAGACGACTCAAGGCTCCAGGTGTGGGGAAGAGAGCAGGGAGGAAAGGGCGGCCATGGCCCCGTTATCAGAAGGGTAGCAGCTCTTCCACAGGAATGTTGAGGATGACGTCCATGTCTGGGGTGCACCTGGTAGGGAAGAGCAAAGAGGGGTGTGAGAGGCCAAGCGGGGCACTGGAGTTGCAGAGGGGGGAAGCACATCCTCAGGGGAGCCCTGCTCTCTAGAACACTGATACTTACTTGGGGAGCCCCCATCCCAAAACACATCTGCAACTTCACAGCCCAACTGTGTAAGCACACACACACACACACACACACACACACACACACACACATCAAAAAAGAAATGGTTTGACAGGACCCCTACAGAGGTCTGAGGCTGAGAGGGAGCAGGAACTCAGCTCTAAAATGATGAGGCCCCTCAAGATGAGCACTCTTTTTGGAGTCAGGATGACTGGTTTGGACATCTGGCTCCATGTCACCTTGAGCATTCTACTTCTCTCACAGTTTCACTCCCCCAGTTGGCACCTACGCAACAAGCACTAGCTATGTGACAGACCCCAGGCAAGCATCAGTTTTCTCATCTGTCAAAAGGGAGGTGGTAAAGTCCAACCTCAGTCCTCAGCAGGATTAAATGAGAGCATGCTGGCATGGAATGTGTGTTCAGTAAATGACAGGCATTTCTGCTTTCCATACAAGCAGCAAGAGCACTGGGCTCCCATCTAGTTCAAGAGGCAGCTACAGAAAGATTACATACTTGGGTCTCCGAAGCAGAACATCCGCAAACACGATCTCTCGGGGTTCCCGGGTCTGGGTTTGGAGCTTTTTAATCTCGGCCCTTAATATAGATATTTCCTCCTCAAACTGGTTGATAAACTGCGAGAGTCACAGCAGGGGAAACTGAGAAGCCAAATGTCACCCAACCAAAGGGAGAAAAGGGCAAAATGGATGAGGAGTAAAGGCATCTGGGTCAATGGCCTGGGCTTTGTCACTAGGACTTCCTGGACTCCAGGAAGGGGCCTCTCCAGGCAGGGCAGGGCTGGCTAGAAAGTTAGTGAAAATGTTTGATGGTCCTGAAAAAGGCAAGGGGATCATGGAGAAGGGAGACAAGTTGCAAAGTGGGGGGAAGTACTAGATAATGAGGATTAATGAGGGCTGAGACAGTGAATGCCACTCACAAGGATAACTGATGAAGATGCACGATAATGAAAATTAATGAGAGGGTGGTGATGGTGAAGTTCATTACGACGCATAATGAGTGATGGTCAATAACAAGAACTAAGGGGTGAAAACAGGGGATGGCTGGTGACAGTAAAATGATGGTTGAGTGGGCCATTCTTGGTGATGTTGCTAATGGATCATGACCAGTGACACTGGCTTATGAGGCAAAGCCTAGGCCACCACGAATCCCCTTCTCAGGTGAATGACAAGTGACATTAATGGCACTATAAAGGAGGAAGGCCAACACCAGAGTCCGAGACCTCCTGGGCACCAGATCAGGACAAGCCCGACGCCCAAAGGTTCCGGGGACTGCCCACCCTTCTGCTCCCTCACACAGGGACCATCACCATCCTTGCCCACTCACTTCTTTGAACTTGTCCATGTATTTCATCAAGTCCTGGCTTTCCTGGGTCTTCTGCAGAAGACCTTCCTGATGGGGTTGCAGGGTTTTCTGTGAAGGAAGGAGAGTCTGGCCCCCATGTGCCTCTTCCTGGGCAGCAGTGCATGGTAGAGGCTGGTGGGGGCACAGGGGGCTCGGAGGCAGAGGATAGGAAAGAAAGCAGGGCTAGGGGCAGGACCTGGATACCCACCGCCGCAGCTGGTCACTCACCGCCACCACAGCGCTCAGAAGCTTTTGCTTCTTCATCTGAATCCGATTAGACAAAGACTCCAGGACCATTTTGAACATCTCATGGAGCTCATCCAACTCATCCTGGGGGCCAGCAGGAGGGTGTTGGCTGCCAGCCCTGCCTCCTCGCTGATCCAACAGGGCAACGCCAGGGGCCCACCTACCTGTTGGCTGTCCTTCACCTGCTGCAGCTGACGCACGAGGTTGGCAATCTGGACCGACCTGACAGGATACTCATGGTCCATGTAAGTGCTCAGGAAGCTCACTTCCGCATGGGTCTTCTTGATCTTGGCATTCAGCTGCTCCAGCTGCTGCTCCAGGTCTGGAGAAGTCAGGAGGGACAGGAGGCAGGGATCTCCCCTCAAGGATCCCTCCCAGGAGATCCAGGAGGCAAAGCTCTCCTTGGTCAATGGTTTGGGGTCTGGACTGAAGCAAGCTCACACAAGGTTGGGAGATGGTGAAAACTTAAGCCCCTAGAGAACATTTACCCCGCAAAGGAGTAGAGGCAACACTGGGTAGGAATGAGAAACTAAACTAGGTGCAAGATCCCGAGACTAGTCCCAGCTCCACCACTGACTTGCTGTGTGACCCTCATCAAGACAGTCCATCTCTGGACCTCAATTTCCTCATACACACCCCCCTCAAGGCAACAAGGCCATGGAGACAGGGCAACACTAGCTCCCAAGATACAAGCACAGCAGGATTAAGACAAAATTTATCCTGCTGTCCTCCTTGGAGGGGATCCCCAGTATCTGAGGCTGCCTGATACACTGCCCCTCTGCTCAGGCTTCTAGTCTGCTCAGGAGAAAGACGCCACAGGGTCAACAGGATTGATGCCAGGAGACCTGGGACCTGGCCGAGTGTCGACTCCTAGAGGGACCTTGGCAGGAAAAAAAAGGCAGGCTGGGGTTGGATTCTGGCTTCTAGCTATATATGTGTAAACTTCAGCTGACTACTTCACTTCCCTTAGCCTCAGTTTCCTCATCTGTAAACTGGGAGAATAGTCCCTGCCTCGCATGTGGTTGTGATGACTGAAAGTACATGTATATCCATAAAAATGAAGACACATGGGGCCTGGAAGTACTAAATCCTCCACAAGCAAGCCATTAGATCTAGATCTTAGCAATTCCATCTGCCTTAAGAAGAGAGATGATGGGCCTGATGGTTCCAGGAGGGTAGGTGCAAGGTGAGTGCCCTGCAGCTGACCTCCCCCAGAGAGCCAGGTGAGGATCAGGAGTTTGCCCCAGGGATTCTTACAGCTCATCTTGGATTCCTGCTTCTCCTCCAATTCCTGCAGCTCACACTTCATCTGCTGCATCTCCTTCCTGTTCGAGTACTCCAAAATGTTGATCATGTTCTGTGGGAGTGGTGGTGTGAGCTCACCCCACCGAGAGCATGGCCTCTCAGGGGACTCAGCACTTCCTCGGAGTCCCCAAACCCAACCCCATTCCCAGGCCTAGGAACCTGACCAGAGGCTGGAAAGCAGTCACCTGCTGCCCTACCCCCTCCCAACGTTATTAAACTACCTGTGACCACACTAAAATGAGAGCTTGATGTGGACAAGGTGTTCCACTGATCATTATTTCCCAAGGGCCCACAGTAAGCACTCAGGATGAACAAAAAGTGTATTATTGGATCAATGACAGAAAATCAGACAATGACTTTGTCTAAGTATGGAGAATATTCTATTAAGTTTCCTTGGACTGAATAACTCTGTATGTCCTTGGTCTCTGTTATAGACTGAATTGTTTCTCCCTTCCCCCCCAAAAAAATAAAATTCACATATTGAAACCCTAACTCCTAATGTGATTGCATTTGGAGATAAAGCCTTTAGGAAGGTAATTAATGATAAATGAGGTCCAAAGGATGGGGTCTTAATCCAACAGGACTAGTGTCTTTATCAGAGGAAGAAACACCAGAGATCTCTCTCACTCCATGTGAGTACAGGAAAGACCACGTGAGAACGCAGCAAGAAGACAGCTGTCTGCACCCCAAGGAGAGCGGTCTCAAAAGACATCATCCCTCCTGGCACCTTGATCTTGGACTTCCAGCCTCCAGGACTATGACAAAATAAGTTTCAGTTGTTTAAGCCACACCTGGTCTGTGATAATTGTTAGGGCAGCCCAAGCAGACCAATTAAGTCCCTAAAAACTTAATTTTCTCATCTCGGACTCTGGTGAGCTCAGTTCCTCTTCTCCCTGGGCAGACTGCAGTCAAAGGGGATTCACGTCTCCATTAAAAAATTTTCTCTGACTCTTTTCCTGCCCAAACTCCTGGGTCTCCTGTGAACTTTCAGCCTCTCACCACAGCTTCACCTGGCCTCTTCTCGAGGAGGCCAAGGACACTCCCTGGACTCTCCTCAAAGTCACTCTTCACCCACAGACCAGAAGTGCCACCACTGAATGAGGGTGATAAACACAGCGTGGTGTAAGGAACACAGATTCTGATCAGGCCGCCTGGGCTCAAATTCCAACTCTGACCCTTGCTAGCTGGGTAACTGTGAGTGATCTTCAGCAAGTCACCTAGCCTCTCAGTGTTTCCATTTCTTCATATGTAAAATAAAGATAATAATAGTGCCCACCCCACAGGGCTGTTGGAAAGATTATATGAGTACATACAAAGCACTTAGTAGTACGCTATATATTTGCTGCTGCTGGTGGTGATAGCAGCCATTTTCTCTTACACACCTGCTGTGTGCCGAGTACAACCCCCCGTAGGGGTGAGTGCTATTGAGCCCTATTTTACAGAGCTCAGAGGTTAACTCAAAGTCTTCCAGCTAATAAGCGCTAGCACTGGGATGAGCCCCCCATTCCGGTCTGATTCCTAAGCCCAGGTAGGTGGGGGGAAGTGTGTAAGAGGTGTATCTTCTACATGGAAGTGGCTGTGCAACCGGCAGGGAGAGGCCAGGAGAGGGCGCCAGAGCGTTCAGGAAGGCGGCGCAGTGGGCAGGACCGAGGCACAGAGAGCAGAGGCGGGGCTGAGGGACACTGGGGCCTCTCACCCCCAGGATGTCCTGCTGCTGCAGCATCTCGCGCACTTTCAGGGCCCAGCTGTCCTCCGTGTCCTGGATGGTCTTCATCAGCTCCTGATTGAGCTTGGTGAGGAAGTCCTCCTGGTTGCGGAGCTCCTGGAGTGAGGTCCGCCGGTTCCTGAGCATCGTCTGCAAGCAGAGGGAACGGGCTGGGAGGCGGTGCTGCGCCGGGCGGGCGGAGCCTTGGGGAGCCTGGGGACCACTTCCCTCCCAACGAACACTCGCTCCCTTGTGGCCTCGACTGGTAAATGCGACCCGTGCTGGGAGGCGGATCCCCATTGTCTGCAGGTCAGAGCATCCATTCTGAAATGCCCGTTTTCCCATCATTGTACATCTCTGAGGTGGGGAGGCATCTTACAATTGGTACGTGTCGCAATCTAATTGACAAATATTTTATTAGTGGGTAAATAAAATAAAGGTGTGCCTTATTATCAATGGCTTCTTAGAACCAATGAAATATAGTAGTAATAATCATTATAATAGAAAACGACCCCGGTAGGTAAGAAGGTGGCAGAGGCGATGCGTCATGTCTGGGGAGGCCAAGTGGATGATAATAATCGCTACCATTTCTCAACAGGCAGCTGAACTGAGTGAGTCCTCTCATTTCATACAACGCCCCTGTGGAAACAATGAGGGTCTGAGCGATTAAGTGACTTGCCTAAGGTCACCCCTAGCAATTACACAAAATCTACAACAATAACAATAGCAATTGGTGAGGACCTTCTATGCGCTGGGCTCGGTGCCTTACTCAGCACATGGTAAACAGTATCAGTTCATCTTCCAACAGCTCTATGCTTACTAACTCTATTTTACTAGGTGGAAGCTCAGACAGGATAAGCGACTTGCCCAAAGTCACACAGCCAGGAAGTGGTGGCACCGGAACTGGAAAGGCAGACTTCTGACTCCCAGTGTCTGTCTTTCCACTACACTAAGACAAGGCACTGAGAGAGCTTAAAGCTGCAAGGTGTGGCTGAACCTCAAAGTGATTAAGACTTGGATGTAAGGCCAAGACACACCTTAGTTCAAATCCCAGCCCTGCCACTTACTACCTAAGGGAATCTGAGCCCTACTACACTCATTCTAAAGGTGAGAAAACTATTACCTGCTTCAGAGAGCTGCTGTAAAAATAAATGAGATCATATTCACAATCAAGCCACCTGGTGGCAACGCCTTGCACACTCAGTGTGCACTCAGTGAACAGGAGCTCATAGCACTCGCACCGGCTCTAACCCTCCACCTCTGCCATACCTATGCGCTCTCCTCTTTATTCCCTCTTTTTCCTCATTTCTGTCCTTTGCTAGAACCCCGCCCCCCACTAGCTGTAAACTCTCATATTCCTCACATTAATAATAAGAATAATAGAGGGCCGGCCGAGTGGCGCGTTGGTTAAGAACTGGCTTGGGACGCCAGAGGGCCCCGGTTCGGATCCCACATATGAGGGCCAATGACACTGCCCTCCACAGCTAAGATGCTGAACAACAGCTCAACCTGGAGCTGGGCTGCCATGAGTCACCGGCGACGGCGTAGGCTGCAGCCCCTGCTGCAGTGGGTTGCCATGGGCTACCGTGTGTAGCCAGCAGCCAGCGTGAGCGGCCAGCAGCCGCAGTGAGTGGCCGTCCAGAAGCCGGCAACTGATCTGCCTCGCCCGGGAAGAGCGCAATGATGGTGCCAACTTGGGCCAGTGAAGCAACGTCCTCCACAACTAGACTGAAGAACAAAAGGACAGCAACTTGTCTGTTCCCCTTCCCCCAATTCCCTAGCGCTGTTCCCATCCCCCAATTCCCCAATAAAAATCTTTTTAAAATAATAAGAAGAATAGAGCAAACCTATGGAGTGCTTATTATGTGCCTGAAACTGTGCTAAGCACATCACCTGCACTACCTCACATGACACTATTATTAGCCCCACTTTATAGAAGCAGAAACTAAGGGTCAGAAAGATTCAGTAACTTACCTAAGGTAACACATAGCAGAACTATTGTCCCTGGAAGTCTGAGCTCCTAGCCACTCCACTATCTTGCCTCCACATCTCCAAACCAAATTATCTCCAAATATGGCCCACAGGGACCAGAAGTATCTTGTGTAAAATGCCGATCTCCATGTCTCAGACCCACTGAGCCAGCATCACTGGGGTTGGCACCAGGAATCTATACTCTAAACACACCCTACTCCCGGTGATTCTGATAAACTATAGGATTAATGACTACTGCTCTAGAAAAGGATCTTCCCTAGCTAGTAGATCTAGTGTAGAAACCTTGTCTGCTTCCTTCCTTACCCCAATTTGCAATTACATAATTACACTTTGTAATTATGTCTCTCTCTTTCCCAATTTATCTTTCTCCTAGGGTTTATCACCACCCAACATAACAGGTATTTTTTTTACTTTTTTATTTTTTTAGCAGAGCCATCCTGCTACCTATTGGCAGCTTAGTGGCAGCTCAGCTCGGGCTGGGCAACAAACCGCTGTTGCTCAGAGCTCAAACTCTTGAGCGAGCTCTTAACCAACTGAGCCACTCGGCCAGCCCTCATAACAGGTATTTTTGTTATTATCTTGTCTCCTGTCTGTCTCCCCTACTAGAATGTCACAGCCAGGAAGACAGGGGCATTGGCTGTTTTGTCACAGCTTGATCTCCAACACAGAGGACAGTCCCTAAAGCTCTTAAGTATGGGTTGAATAAGCTGATGAGTACCTATTATTTGAGTTTTTAAAATTCATTTATTACGTGTCTTCCCCCTAATGTGTAAGCTCCATAACAGTACAAATTCTGAGTGCCATGTTCATGGCTGTGTCCCCAACACCCAGCATGGTTTCTGGCACATAGTAGGCACTCTCTCAAAAGTTATAGGATGAATAAATAATTGTCCTGAGGCTGAGAGTTAGAGTCAAGATCCTACTCCATCTCCAAACACAAACCAATTTGGTAGCTTTTGCTCCCTTCTTGTGTTTCCCCCATGTCTCCACAAATCCATTCTCCACACAGTAGCAGCCCAAGGACTCCTGAGAAAACCTGAGTCAAATCACATCCCTTTTCTTGTCAGAATCCTCCAGGGTCTTTCTGTCTCATTCATCATAAAAACACAAAGCCTAATCACGGACTGCAAGGCCATATACAAGCTATTCCCCTTATCCCCCACATCCCATCTTTCCTCCTCATCACCTGCTCCAGCCACACCAACTTCACACCAACTTCATACCAACTTCAGGGCCTTTGCACTTGTGAGTCCTCTGCCTGGAACGTTCCTCCCTCAGGTGCCACCTTAGCAGCCTTCCCTGATCACCCTGTCTACAACAGTCACAGCCATGCCTTCCTCTGTGCCTCTCTAGCCCCCTAACCTTATCTCTATGACCCTTTATAGCTCATAACATCACCACACATATTTGTCTTATTTATTGTCTCTCCCCCAGTAAAATGTGAGCTACATAATGTCAGAGTCCTCACCACTGGTGAACCCCTACACTTAGAACAGGGCCTGGCACATAGTAGGAGCTCAATAAATATTTGTTGACTAAATGAATGAATGATTACAAGAGACAGTATTAGGAACTGGTTAGGGGCACAGGTTTCAGAGACAAATTGTCCAAGTTCATGTTTTGTAGCAAATGAAAACACATTAAGCCTTCTAAAGTCAGGATAAAAATCACATCAGATATATGAGTTCCTCCTGTAAGAATGCTGGACTGCCTCTACACCATTTTGCAAAACTGAACAGGGATAAAAAGGTTCCAAAGAAAATACCTTTTTCCCTATTTCTTCATATAGTAGTCATTGCTCATTGAGCTATTAAACACTTTTTGGAGAAGTTAAGAATTATTCTATAGCATTTTATATTACTTAAAATTTAATATTTTACTTTCTGCTATAGATACAAAAGCTTCCTCTTCTTTTGGTCATTTCAAATACTCTAAAACATTGTTCAGAAGCCATAAAAAAAATGGATGGTGAGAAAATTAGTTATCCAAAATTGTATCAGTTGATGTGAAAAATTTAATAGTAAGCTTCTAAGCCTTCTTTCAAGGTACACCGTTTTCCATGAAAGGAATTTACTGGAAATTTTTAAATGAACAAGCCACTAGATTGTATTCCTAATGCAGGGAAATAAAAAGGGATTCTGATTGTTTTCCTGAGTCTTAAACACAATGGCACTTTGCTTAAGTGGCTTTGACCCCTGGCACTGCCATTTTCTAGCTTCATGACCTGGTGCAAGTCATTTATCTCCCTGAACCTCAGTTTCCCCATCTGTAGAATAGGGATGATTATAAGCAGGCTCACAGGGTTGCTCTGAGGAGGAAATGAGTCAAGTCAGACACCCATAAGGCACTCGGTGCATGTTTGCTCCCGCCATCCCTCTGCCCCCTGCTCTGGGCCCCTGTGCCTGTGGAAGGGTGCTCTTCACACCCTCATTAGCCGGATTCTGGCCTGTGTCTTCCCAGAGTCCAAATTCCTTCTGCGCAGTTCTCGTGGACTCCTCGGCTGGCTTGTCATCAGCATGGTGGGCTTGGAATACCCTAGGACATGAGAAAGGGCAAAGGGTCAGGGTACAGGCAGGCCTGAGGTCAGGTCCCAGGGAATGCACCATCCATGAGATGGCCCAGGCCCAGCCCCACCCACTCACAGCCTTATAATGTGTGGCAGTGAGACAGAGGATGAAACTCACACCCATCAGTAAGCTCCCGGGCTCCATTCTGCGTCTTGATACAAGGGATGGAGAAGCCCAGGAGAATTTTACATACCACAGTGACTGTGGGTACGGACAGAGGAGAGGAGAGGGAGAGCAACAGGAAATAGCCAGGCGCCCCCAATCTCTCCCACCAACCTGGCCAGTGGCGAGCTCAAATAGGGCAGGAGTTAAGAGCAAGCACTAAGGAGCCAGACAGCCTGGGTTTGAATACAGGCTCTGCTTTCTCCCAGCTGTGTGACCTTAGACAGGTCACATGACCTCTCTGTCCCTCAGATTCCCCATCTGTAAAATAAGAATCATCATCATGTCTACCTCATAGGGTTGTCGTGAAGATTAAGTAAGAAGTTACTATACTTTGAAGTGTTTGGAACAGTACCTAACACATATTCAGTGCTGAATATACACTGCTGGTTGTCCCTGCTATTACTAAGGACCTGAGAATTGGGATCAGGACCACCAGACAAAGGCACAGGAGCTATGCAAAACTCCAACTGGCTGTCTCTAAAGTACCTATAAAGGCTGTGGTCCTGCCAGATGAGGAGGATAGGGAAATGATCCAGATCAGAATAAGGCATTTGGAGGGCATGTTCTTAGAATCCCTGCTTCCTCTCAGCGTGTCCTGCACCATCACGAAGCAAGTCTCCCAAATCATCACAAATGCTGCAGTTGTATGCTCAGCCCCCACCAAACTCCCCGCTCCATGCGCAACCCAGTTCATTTCAGAGAAATATTATTTCTTTAAGAGATCAATACCCTTAACTCTGGAAAGTTTTAGTATCAAGTGTTGAAGTGATCGAGTACATTAAGATAATTTTGTGTGAAAGTTATGAATTATTTGTACGATGCTTCCCCGCTCCCACCCCTCCACCCCACAGAACCGCGGTTTCGCTTTCTGCGGTTTCAGTTACCCACGGTCAACTGCGGTCTGAAAATATATAATGGAAAGTTCCAGAAATAAACAATTCATAAGTTTTAAATGGCACACTGTTCTGAGTCGTGTGATAAAACCTCGCACCATGCCGTTCCACTCTGTCCCGGGAGGGATGTGAATCAGCCCTTTATCCAGCATCTCCATGCTGTGTATGCTCCCCGCCTGTTAGTCACTTGGTAGCCCTCTGGGTTATCAGATCAACTGTCACAGTATCACAGGGCTTGTGTTCAAGTCACCCTTATTTTACTTAACAATGGCACCAAATGCACAAGAGTGGTGATGCTGGCAACTCAGGTATGTCAAAGAGAAGCAGTCAAGTGCTTCCCTTAAGTGAAAAGGTGAAACTTCTCAACAAGGAAATAAAAAAACCTCTTATGCTGAGGTTGCTAAGATCTATGATAAGAATCTTCTATCCATGAAATTGTGGAGAAGGAAAAAATTTGTGCTAGTTTTGCTGTCACACCTCAAATTGCAAAAGTTACAGCTGCGTAATACAGGCTTAGTTAAGATGGAAAAGGCATTAAATTTAGGGGTGAAGATATGACACTGTCATGGCTCAATGATTCTCTTTCTTATATATCATCAGAAGGTCAATAGTAGCCTAGTGCTGTCACAATGCCTATGTCATTTACATCATTTCATCTCATCAGGTAGGTACTGTATCATCTCCCATCATCACAAGAAGGGTAAGTACAGTACAAGACATTTTAAGAGCGAGAGAGAGACCACATTCACATAACTTTTATAACAGTATATTGTTATAATTGTTCTAGTTTATTATTAATTATTGTTGTTCACCCCTTACTGTGCCTAATTTATAAATTAAACTTTACCATAGATATGTATGTATAGGAAAAAGCATAGTATATAAGGGGTTCAGTACTATCCACAGTTTCAGGAATACACTGGGGGTCTTGAAACTTATCACCCACAGATAAGGGAGGGCTACTGTATATATCTGGTATTTAATTGTATTGTTTAAGAGGTGAAATGATTACTAGATTAAACTTATGGTTCTAATTTAAAATGTGTAAATGAGATTTTGATTTAGATTTAAGTTGAAAAGTTTAAGACACTCTTATTAAATGTGTATAAATTACCAAAACTTTTTTAAAAACATAAGATTACCCATATTTAGAAATTATTACATGTACGAGAATTATTAAATACCCAATGTTTTTGGTAATCAGACAAGTAGACTATTTGAAAATGAAAATGAATATATACAATTTTTAAATGTGGCTTAAAAGGTTTAGGGGAATTTAATTAACCAAGTTCCAAAATCCCCCTTACAAATATTCATAAAAATAATAAGATTTGTAAGTTGAATTTAAGTACTTAGTAAGATTTGTAGCTTTAATAATAGGTATATCTTCTCATTAGTGGTAGTAGACCGATTTATCTTCTTTTTTAATTAAACTTTTTTTTTTTGAGATAAGTTCAGGTTACATGCAGTTTTAAGATATAATAGGGGCAGCCAGTTAGCTTAGGTGGTTAGCGCACAGGCTCATAACACCAAGGTTGCCGGTTCAATTCCCGCAAGAACCAGGGAGCTGCGCCCTCCACAACTGGATTGAAGACAACTTCTTGACTTGGAGCTGATGGGTCCTGGAAAAACACATGGCTCCCCAATAAAATTTCTTAAAATAAATAAATAAAAAAGAGAAATTCTATGTACCTTTAACTCGGCTTCTCCCAATGGTAGCATGTGGCAAAACAAAATACAATAGCACAAGGATAGTGACTTTAAGACGAGCAGGATACAAAACAGTTCCTCCACCACAAGGATCTCTCAGTTGCCTTTTACAGCCAACATCCACTTCCCTCTCCTTACCATCCTCCCCCACCTCTGTCCCTAACTCCTGGCAATCACTATTCTGGTCTCCATTTTTATAATTTTGTCATTCCCGGAATGTCATATAAATGGAATCATACAACATGTAACTTCTGGGATTGGCTTTTGTCACTCAACAATTCTTGGAGATTCATCTAAGTTATTGAGTCTATCAATAGTTCTTTCCTTTTTATTGCTGAATAGCGTTCCATGGTATGGATGTACCATAGATTGTTTAACCATTCACCCACTAAAGGACATCTAGGTTGTTTCCAGTTTGTGGGTATTATGAATAAGGCTGCTATGAAACATTCATGCACTCGTCTTGTGTGACCTTAAGTTTTCATTTCTCTGGAATAAATACCCAAGTGTGCACTTGTGGGGTCATTATGGTAACTGCATATTTAGTTTAATTAGAAACCCGTACTCTTTTCCAGAGAGGCTGCTTTTTACATTCCCACTAGCAATGAATGCATGGTCCAGTTTCTCCTCTTTGTCGGCATTTGGTCTTATCATTGTTTTTTATTTTAGCCATTCTGATAGATCTGCAGTGACATCTCATTGCAGTTTAATTTGCATATCCCTAATGGATAATGACGTTGAACATCTTTTCATGTGCTTGTTTACCATCTATATGTCCTCTTTGGTGAAATGTCTCTTCATGTCTTTTGCCCTTTTTCTGACTGAGTTGTTTTTCTGTTGAGTTTTGAGATTTCTTGATTGCTATTTTACATAGCAGTCCTGTCAGATATGCGGCTTGCAAATATTTTCTCCAAGTCTGTAACTTGTCTTTTCATCCTCTTAACAATCTTTCATAGAATAAAACCTTTTTTTTAATAAAGTCCAACTTATCCATTTATTTCATTTTTCTTTTATGGATCAAGCTGTCGGGGTAAAGCTTAAAAGCTCCTCACTTGGTCCCAAATATTTTTCTCCTTTATGTTTTTCTCTGGAAGTTTTACAATTTTACATTTTGCATTTAATTTTTATTTCATTTTACATTTACATTCTGAGTTAATTTTTGTGTAAGTTGTGCGACTTAAATCGAGGTTCATTTTTTTGCCTATGGATGTCCAACTGCTTCACACCATTTGTGGAAAAGGCTTTCTTTCCTCTCCTGAATTGTTTTTGCACCTTTATCAAAAATCAGTTGGGCATATTTGTGTGGCTCTATTTCTGGTTTCTCTATTCTGTTCCATTGGTCTATGTATCTATCTCTCTGCTAATACTATGCTGTCTTGATTATTATAGCTATATAGTAGGCTTTAATATCACATAAAATTATTCTTTCCACGTTGTTCTTCTTTTTGCAAAACTGTCTCATTCTAAGGCTATGCTTTTCTATATAAATTTTATAATAAATCTGTCTATGTCTACAAAACACTGCTGGGATTTTGATGGGAATTGCATTAAACATATAAATCAATTTGGAGAGAACTGACATCTTTACCATGTTGAGTCTTCTGCTCCATGAACACAGTATGTCTCTGCATTAATTTAGGTCTTCTTTGATTTCTTTCACCAGCATTGTATAATTTTCAGCATGCAGATCCTGTACATGTTTTGTCAAGTTTATACCTATATATTCCATTTTCTTTGGAGTGCTTGTAAATGTACTGGGTTCTAAACTTTGGTTTCCACATATTCATTGTTAGTACATAGAAAAGTGGCTGATTTTTGTGTGTTATGCTTGAACTCCCAAATTAATTCTAGTTTCTTTTAGATTTAGTAGATTCCTTAAGATTTTCTATGTCAACAATCATGTCATCTGTATATAAGGACAGTCAAATAATTCTGATTCATCTCAGTGTTGGTATCTGTTTTTTCTCATTCATACTGTGATTTTCCTTATTCTTGGAATGCCAAGTGATTTTTATTGTACCTGGGTGTTGTAGATATTACTCTGGATACTATTTAATCTTTTTTTAGCAGACAGTCCCCTGTTGAGATGTAGCATGAAGGCCACATGATTATGTATGCTCACCACCCTGGCAGCTCACCTTCTCTCCATTTTCAGAGTCTTTCTGTTTGTTGTATTATATCCAGGGTTTTTTTAGTTGTAAAAGGGAGGACTAGGAAGTTATGGGGCTACTCCATCTTGGTAGACTCAGCTGATTTATCTTTTTTAATACCAAAAGCTGCCCTCAAGGACATGACTTTGCACAAGATATGTTACCAACCTAAGCTTCAGTTTCCTCATCTGTAAAAGGGTGACGACACCATCTCCCAGGTCACAGTAAGGAGTGAATGAAATGATGACCTCCTTCTATCTCAAGTGTACTTAAAAAGTTTTGTGTAGTTACATGTTTGAGGTTGGGACCCTGAACTCCACGTGGCTATAAACCCAATCTGTCTCCTTCACTGTGAGCCAACACCAGCCCAAAGCCAGGCACATGGGGGCTTAGAAAGGCTGTTGCTGAATGAATATAGAGAGGAAAGAATGAATGAGGCCTCTAACAAAGAGATATAAACACAAAGAATATCTTGCAGGTTTTTACTGTAATGCTGAATTTTCCAAGAAAGCAGCTATAATCAAGAGAAAGATTGTGCTTTGTTCTGAACTTTAGAACTTTACCAAGAGATGGGCACCACTTTGGAAATCATGGCTGTAATGAAAAAGGTCCCCTAGTATTTGAGTCCCAGCATCCTACCATGTGTCAGTCAGAATTGCAAAGGTTCCATTCACCAGGATTCTACATCTGTGAGTATGCTTCTGACTCCTTTATCATGTCTTCTGGTGGAGCCCATCCTGATCATTTACATACTGAAACATGTGTTACCTAACTATAAATACCTTCCCTTTTACTTTTCCTTTATTTTACAGTTAGGGCATTATATTAACTTTTACTATATATGTAGATAGGTTTATATTATCTATGACGTTTATTTCAGGATGCTGAAGGAATATTACAAAATTATTTGTTATTAAAAGGAGCTGGGTCTGATAAGCTTGAGTAAACAATGCATTAACAGAGATCTTCTCATTTAATTCTCACAACAATCCTATCAGGTAAGTATTAGTGTCTTCATTTTACAAATGAGAAAATGAAAGCTCAGAGAAATGAATGACTTTCCCAAAAAAGTAAATGGCGGAGCCAAGATATGAAGCCATGTCTGCCTGAGCCAAGGCCTCAGAACTTCCCTGAAAGGCATGACAATGAAGTGGCAGAGATTACCCTGAGTTTATCAGACACTCTTTTCTTTTCCTCCTGGACATACAGCTGGGCTACATTTCCCATCTGCCCTTGTGGTTAGGGGTGGTCATATGACTGAGTTATGGCCACTGGAATATAAGTGGAAGTGACATGTGTCACTTCAGATCAGGGCCCTGAAAAAAACTGCCCACAAAATCATCCATATTCTTGCTCTCTCTCTGTTCCCTCTCTGCCAGCTGGATGCCTTACAAAACGTCTGAGCCACAAGGTTGAAAGAGCCTGGATCCCTGAATGATGATGTAGAAAAGATTAACTCCCACTCGCCCCACCCCCATTTACATTACTTTGACATAAATGACACATAAGCTTTTGTATAATACTTGAAGTCTGGGGATTGTTCAGTTAGAGCAGTTAGCCTATCCTAATATAAGTGACATCACCAAGGGCCAAGAGCATCCATTCTATCCTGTCCCCAATGCCCACACCAGCCCCCAAATATATCTACCTACCTGGCTGGACGCTAGTCAAAGTTTTCATTTTGTTTTTCTTAAGGCCACTGGTTTGTAGGACTGGAGGCAGAGTAGATGGCTTGATTTTCTGCTTGGACCGCTGCCATGGAACATAATCCTACCAAACATGACACAATCAATCACACAGTCTGGTGAGTTCAGATCCCAGCTTACAGGTATCTGTGGCCTTCAGCAAGTGACTTTACCTCTCTGAGCCTCAATTTTCTCATCAGTATAGTGGATCTAATTATAAAACCTACCTCCGTAGGTTGACACAAGAATCCCAAGAGATATTTGTAAAGCATGTAGTAAGTGCTCCATAAACGTTGGCTATCACCCTTTTTATCAACCAGCCAGAATTTACTAAGCACATCCAGGCTGTGAGAGGTGCAAAGAACTGTGCGAAACAGAAATCATGGAAAAGGCCCAATAGGGAAGCAGAGTAGAAATCAGAGATAAACAAGAGAGCAGCATAATATACCCTTACATTCTGATAAGGTGGTGAGAAAACAGGTTCAGAGACATGCCCAGGGTCCCACAGCAATGTGTGACACAATTCAGGTCTCCGGACCCTCTCACTGGAGAGGGTCACCGCCGCGGGGGCAGGGGC